CTCCCTTTTAGTGGGAATGGGTTAAGGCGAGTTAGTCAGCATTGCGATTTTTGTTTGGAGAGAAAAAAATTACTTTGCCAGCGGGCCAAGAAAATGGCCACTTGGAATCAGATGCCACATCATTAGTAATGTGATCTGAGCTTACATAAAACATCCTTTTCCATGCCAGACATGAGTAGCTTTTCCAATGTGCCGAGCTGCAGCCTGAAATTTGTGTACAGTTGCTGACGGGTTTCTGCTCTTGGAACACTGGTACAGTATAACTAAGTGGTGTGTAGTTTTCAAAATACAGAGGAACCACATAAATGACATGAGGAAATGAGAGTCATTTCCATACTCTTTAGGTTACACAGGTTCAAGAACAGGATGTACATGCATGTAATGATGTGTGATACAGAGAAGAAACCCACGATTCCTTTCTGAAACAGCCCATTCAAAGCGAACAAACAAATAGCCGTAGTTCCCAGTGGTTGTGACAGAAAGAGATTGCAGAAGCAACACTGAGCTTATTCACCTCTCGGGGTATGTGGAGAAAAGAAACTCCAGGGACAATGAATCAAACTGGCTTGGAAAAACGTATTCACTGACTTGCCTTAACCCGTTCCCACCCAAAGCTGGCAAAACAACTAAATTCTCCAAATCAATCCCACTCCTCTGCTCTCTCCCCATAGCCCTGCAAACTTGTCCTCTCCAAGTAATTATCTACTTCTCTCTTAAAAGTTGTTATTGAATCGGCTTCCACCACCCTTTCAGGTAATGCATTCCAGATTTCAACAACTCGCTGTGTGAAAAAATTTCTCTTCACCTTCCCTCTGTTTCTTTTAACAACTATGTTAAATCAGTGTCTTCAGGTTACCGACCCACCCGCCAGTGGAAATAGTTTCTCCTTGTTCACCCTATCGAATTCCCTCATCATTTTGAAAACTTCTACTAAGTCTCCTCTTAACCTTTTCTGCTCCATGGAGAATAATCCTGGCTTCTCTATCCTCTCCTGATAACTGAAGTCCCCCATTCCTGGTACCATCCTGGTAAATCTGCTTTGCACCCTCTCCAATGTCTTGACAATCTTCCTAAAGTGTGGTGCCCAGAACTGAACACAGTCTCCAGCTGAAGCCTAACCAGTGTTTTATAAAGGTTTATCATAACTTCCTGACTTTTGTATTCTATGCCGCTATTTATAAAGCCTAGTGTCCAATATGCTTTTTTAACAGCTTTATCTTCCTGTCCTGACACCTTCAAAGATTTACTTATATGATCCCCAGGTCTCTGTTCCTTCACTCCCTTTAAGATTATACCATCAGCTTATGTTCCTCTCCTCATTCTTCCTCCCAAAATGCATCACTTCACATTTCTCCACATTAAATTTCATCTGCCACGTGTCTGCCCACTTTACCAGTCTGTCTATGTCCCCTTGCAGTCTGCTACTATCCTCCTCACTGTTTACTACTTTTCCTAGCTTAGTATCATCTGCAAACTTGGAAATTGTACTCCCTATACCCAAGTCCAGGACATTTATATAGATCAAAAACAGCAGTGGTCCCAATACCGACCCCTGGGGGATACCACTGCACACTTCCCTCCAGTCAGAAAAGCAACTGTTCACCAGAACTCTCTGCTTTCTGTCTCCCAGACAGTTCTGTAACCATGCTGCTACTGTCCCTTTAATACTGTGGGCTTCTATTGAAGTTGCAGAAATGCCTGTCTACTCCTTTCATCATTGTGTCCCCAATGACAATTGCATTACCACTCTTCCCCATGTCCCCCTGTGCATTCATTTGCTTTTGACTCCACTCCCCAAAGGTGTCATCACCCTGATCAGTATTCAGTACAGAGAACCATTTTGTGAGTGCCATATTCTCAGGGGATTTCTGCATTGCCTGTCCCCTCTTCCTACCATGCCGGGTGGTCACCCACTCAATCTCCTTCTGAACCCTCTGTTCCTGAGGGGTGACCACCTCCTGAAAAGTTCAATCCAGGAACTCTTCAGCTTCCCGTATGCTATGAAGTGACACCAGCCCTGCCTCGAGCTCAGAAACCCTGAGCTCAAACTTGAGCAATAATAATAATAATCCTTGCATTTGATATAGCGCTTTTCACGTCGGGAGGATGTCCCAAAGCGCTTCACAGAACACACTGTAAAATGAATTGACTGTATATTTGTGGGCGAACGCAGCAGCCAATTGCGCACAGCAATGTCCCACAAACAGTCGTAGAATGAAAATGACCAATTTATTATTGTTTTTGGTTTTGGAGGGATTATTATTAGGCGTGTGGAGTAAGGAAACTTGCTCAAGGTTTCGCCCTCTGCCTGGAATTGAACTCAGGTCTCTCGCTTGCAAAGCGAGTGCTCTAACCACTGAGCTACAGGACTGGAGACACTTCCTACACACGTGTTTGTCCAGGGCACACAAAGCATCCTGGAGTTCCCACATGGCACACATTGTGCATGCAACCGGTCTCAGCTGCCCTGCCATATTCCCAGACATGTTTTATATTATTTTAATATAACTATTATATATTTTATAATTATGCACCTCTTTCAACCCTCTGCACCAAATTCTCACTTTCACCAAATTCCTTAACATAAGTATCACTCTGTTCCACCTTACTCAGTTCCCTCCTCACTGCTGGGCTCTCTGCTTAAATTTGACAGTCCAGGAGATGAGACCTGGGTTCAATTCCAGGCAGGGCGAAACCTTGGGCAAGTTTCCTTACTCCACACGCCTAATAATAATCCCTCCAAAAACCAAAAACAATAATAAATTGGTAATTTTCAATCTACGACTGTTTGTGGGACATTGCTGTGCGCAATTGGCTGCCGCGTTCGCCCACAAAAAATATACAGTCAATTCACGTTACAGTGTGTTCTGTGAAGCGCTTTGGGACGTCCTCCTGACGTGAAAAGCGCTATATCAAATGCAAGGATTATTATTATTATTATTATTATGTGGCTTAATTACTTCCAGACCAGGAGGAGCGAAAGTGCCATCATTGGAGCATAGGACCAGGAGGAGGTCATTCAGCTTATTGAGCCCATTCTGCTAGTTTATTAGATCATGATAGATAGTTTAATCCAATTGCCCTGCTTTGCATTTTTGATTAGCAAACACAAATCTGGATATTCGTGATGCATGGTGTGTGTTCAGGCATTGCAAACCCCATGCAAAACATCTGACCACAACCTCGGTCATGGCTGTGTGGGCACGTGGATTTCTGTACCAACCCAGTTCTTTGTGTGCACTGCAAATAGCGTGTTGCCTTGCGCTTCTAAAGTTATCTTATATTTTCAGGGGAAAGTTGTTTAAAACCAGCTGTAATGTGGGCAGAGAGATCTCACTAAATGGTCTATAAGGTTAATAATCCTTGCATTTGATATAGAACCCTTCACATCAGAAGGATATCTCAAAGAGCTTCACAGTATATTATGTAAGGTGTAATGACTGTTTTGCAGGTGAATGCAGGAACCAAAATGCACCCACATATACCCATGAAGCGAATGATCAATCCCATTTGGGGAATGATTGGCCACGACACTGGGAGAAACTCATTTCTTTTTTCAAATAGAAACATAGGAACTTTAACATCCACCTGGGCAGGGAGACAGGGCCTTAGTTTAACGTCACACAACACTCAGCATTGCAATGAAGTGCTAAACTAGCCTGGGAGCTCAAAGTCCTGTCAACCTTGAGCGGTGATGCCTGCCTTGTGGACATGTTGATTGTGTAGGGCCCAATAAAATGCACTTCATTATCTGAGCCTGGTCCATAAAGACCTGGGACAAGTCTTGTTCTCAATAAACAATTAGACTGGACACTTAACTTGAGCTCTTTCTACTTGCACTGCAATCCCTCAGCTAGCAAAAGGCTGCATTTCATCAGTACAGCACTTCGTAGTGATATAACACACATGTTTGTAACTTTTGCTTTGCTAAATAACGGAATACATTGGTATTATATACTATCAGCATAACAAATGCTGTGGCCAGCACCTTGGGGGCTAACATATGCTGTTCACTAGCATGACTTCGTTTTTAGACATCTGTGCTTATAATGGTAAATTATATATTAGTTTTCTGCTTAGCTGGCACTTAACACTGATTGATATCAGAATCCTATAGGCACCAAATTGAAAGGTACAGCACAGAAGCTTGCAAGTTTAAGCCCCATATCATGACCTAAGCACACACTCTAAGCCAACCCTCCAGTGCAATACTGGGGGAGCACTTCATTGATGGAGGTGCCATCCTATTGGATAAGATGGTAAAACTGAGGACCAGTCAGACTTTTAACATGGATGTTAAAGACCCTAAGACGCTTTTTGAAAAGAGAAAGTAGTCTCTCTTTCTCTCTTCCCATGTCCTGGCCGACATTCCCTGGATAAAATTTGTTTCATGGCTGTTTGTGGGAAACTTGCTGTGTGCAAAAACAGAAGTCACTGGGAACACTCAGCAGGTACAAGCAGCATCTATGGAGAAAGGAAAGTGAGTCAACGTTTCGGGTCCACGACCCTTCGTCAGAACGTTGACTCACTTTCCTTTCTCCATAGATGCTGCTTCACCTGCTGAGTGTTCCCAGCAACTTCTGTTTTTGTTTCAGATTTCCAACAGCTGCAGTATTTTGTGATTTGCTGTGTGCAAACTGTCTCCTATGTTTGCCTATAAATACTTGTCAAAATTTACCTGTGAAACACTTTGTGACACGTTGACGTTGCAGACACTATATAAAAATCAAAGTATTATTATTAATTGTTAATAACACTTATTTTTTAATTGACTCTTCTTAATTTAATGGGAAAAAACTAACCTAAATAAAAATAATCCTCAAATTTCATGTCGAGAAGACGTCTCAAAGCGTTTCACAAGGATAAGGACAATTTGTTGCTGAATGTCTATTTAGTAGAACAAAGACATTTTATTCTGCAGGAATAAACTTCCACCTGATTTTTATCGTAACCTAGGCGCTGCTGGACAAGACATTGTAAGTTAATGAACATTAACCCACCTTTCATTTCCTTCGTCTACCACTGGGAGTGGGGGGAGCTGGGACTGTGGGTTGTGGGGGCTTCCTTGCATATTGTGCACCGGGGATGGATGATTTGGAGGATGGGAAGAGGAAATGAGGCCTGTTGCTGTTCCACTTCGGCTTGAGTGTGTGCTGGAAAACATTCCTGGAAAGAAGCACNAAAAAAATTGGATCATTTAACACAGGCAGAACAATCTCTCGGCCACAACATGACCACAGTTAAGTATCAAGTAATGAATCTTTCCTCAAAATAACAGATTTCTTGCTGTGAAGGACTATCACATTCTGCTTTCAAAAAAAGGAAAAATAACTCAATGTATTTTCTTCTGAGGAAATCTTGGAAGAACCCAGCACTGCTAATTCTCCTGTTTCCACTTGTCAATGATGGGAATTTCAATTGCCAATGTTGGAAATTAAAGAGATTTTAAGAGGTTACAAGATCTATTGTACTGCACTTTCTGGATGTTTGTGATTTAATATGGGACCTCTTTCCTTTCTCTCCTCTTCTTACAAAAAGCATATAAATAAAATGTTTACATAAATGGAATTTGTTGTTGTTGTTGAGGTTGCATCCTAAATGAAGGAATTCTTTCGGTAACCAAAATTACGTCAAGCACATCATCCTGACTGCTCTGAAAGTATCTAGTTTTGGAGGGAGTCAGTACGACGTACTTCCAGATTTCTTCATTAGGGAATACTGAAATCGCTGCACTTCAGAGACTACTGTTAAACATTAAGCAGTGTGTGGGTTTTGTTTCCTTTCACTCAGTGAAATGGCCAGAAGGATCACAATGGTCTATTCCAGTCTAGTGTATTCCCAAGTTCCTAAATCAGAAAGGTTATTAGATTTGTTATCATGCTGCAATCATATCGAGAGCCTTGGGCAGCAGCTATAAAACCACACAAGTAAATCTCAAGCCACTTGTTACTACCACGTGAACCAAAGACAGTATTACAGCCTTGAAATCGTTCCATGCTATCTATGTTTTAAAACCTTTTTTGGCAGATTTTGTGCTTATCAAGGTGAGGGATGTTAATGTGAGGAAATGGAACATTTCCCATTTTCGGTAACCAGTGTCATGCATCAAGCATTACCAGATAAGCTGCTTCTCAGTTAGATGTGAAGTAAAACTCCTTCCCATCCAAATCCAACAATGTTGCCTGAGGGGACCAAACTCAAAAGAGCACCCCCTGCTGCAGTGACATGCTATTTCTGGAAGTGAGACTGCCAATTAGTACTGAATGACATGTAACATTTGGGGTCAAAATTGTGCTTTGTGATAACATCACTGGTGATAGTTATGACAAATGACCAAAAGTGTGGCTGAGAGAGGCCAAAGCCAGTGGTTACTAGAATAAGGATTAGTATGGATATGGGATGGCAATTCGATGGAGTAAGGATGGGTATGGGAGGGAGTAAGGAGTGGGTGGAGACTCATGTGAAATGTAAACACCGGCATGGATTCGTTGGGCCGAAGGACCTGTTTCTGTGCTATACGATCTGTGTAAATCTGTGTACTGCTTTTAACTGTGATTTTGGTAACCCACTGATGATATCCCATGCTACAGTTTTGACCCCATAGACACTTTCTATCTTGTGTGCTGCCGAGACTCCTGGATGAGAGCTATCTTTCCACAGCTGAATGTCAACAAGACCGAGGGTCTCCTGATTGGTTCCTGTCAGCGCCTCCACCCTCACAGGATCACCATCCAAGGATGCAAACTCCACCTCACTAAGCCAGTCCAGAACCTTGGCATCTTGTTTGACCCTCAACTATCCTTTCTATCCCACATCCGTACCATGACCCGCTCTGACTTCCCCCAGCTCCGCAACATTGGTAACCATTTAAACAACAGTGGATATTCAGGACAAAAGACCTGAAATTCATTCCACCCACAGTCTTGGCCTGTAAAATCATTTTACCTTAAAATGAAAGATTATGCATAATTGTGCAGAAGAACATTCTTAAAAATTGAAAATTCTTCAATTCTGTTTGAATTTCAAAGCAGATTTCCTGCAGGGCTTAAAAAGGCTAGCTTCAATGAAGACTGAATTTAAGAATTTTCCACCATTTGGCCAATATTATATTTTAAGGTAAATAGTCTCACAAGCTAAAGGCTAGGTAGAATTTGGGGCTTGAAGTGTTTAGTGAGGTCTGGCAGAAGCTTCGGTTGTACATCAGTGACATAAGTAAATAAAAAGGGATGAATAAGTCTAATAATGTTCACTTAAACAAGAAATATGACTGTGGAAGGACTCTTTTTTGTCAGTGAAGTATATATGTGCACCTCTCGCTGAGCGGGACCAAATGATTTGCAGGTAACAAAATACACTTGTAACAGCCCTATGGTATAGAGCACAATAACACAGAGCATGCTGCGTTGCATTTACATTAAGTGACGCCTAAGGGTGTGTGTTCGTTGTCTGGATCCCTCTTTGCTGGTAAGGGTCGCCACTGTTTTCTTTTGCTGCTGGATCGCTTTTAAGTTGGCCTTGAGACATTTAAAGTGATTGACAGGCGGAACAATCAATTGGTCACGGCAGGAGAATGTATCAGAAATGTTCATTGCTTGGGTGATTGGGAATGTTGGGGATTCACGTGGCGCTGACACTTGTGGTACTGATTAGAAACTGCGAGTTCAGCTTGGCTCTTCATTTACACATCAATCGCAACAATTTTAATATGGAATTATTAATACATTAGGAACCAAATAATTCGCCGCAGTTTCAGGCTGACGTGAAAGTTCCACATCTCAAATCCATAGTGTAAAATACACATTCAACAATACTTTTTATTGACTTTGGTCAGAATTGCTCAAGGTACATGCGATATACGGGTAGCATGACTGTCCACTTCGGTAACGTTTTTAAACAGAGCTCAACCGTGCCTGGAAATCCTAAACGTGCAATGAACACACATTATGGTTGAAAACGTAACTCTTTAAGCTCTTGATTCAGGGCTTTTGCAACTTTGAATGCTGCAAAATGCTTATTTGTTTAAATAAAATATTAAATCTGAGGCTATAAACTCCTTATTATTTCTTCTTCTTCAAACCTTGCACCTCCCACAGCTTAGCTGGTTAACAACTCATCCCTTGGTTCCTGAAAACTCAAACATTCTCGACTCTGGTGCAGAGTTTGTGGATTCATGTTCCGGGTTGGGGGCTTTGAACTCACAGTGTATGCTGATATTCCAGTGTAGTACTGGGGTGTGCTGCATGTCCAAAGTGCCTTCCTATCGATTAAATGTTAAATTGCTTGTCTGCCTGTTCAGATGGATGTTGAAGAACCTATGGTACTATTTGAAAAAAAGGGAGTTTCTCCCAGTTCAAACAATCCTCTGAATAAAACTGGCCATTCACTTCAAGGACATTTGTAGGAAATTGTTGTGTGTGAATTGCTTGCCAGATAAATTGATTATTCACCTCTTGGATGTTTGCAGGCCACTTCTGAACGCAAATTGCCTGCCGAATTTTCCTACAAATACAAAGTTGCTACACTTAACAGTAAGTACTTTGAAGTGCTGTGAGACAGTTCGCTGTGATAAGATGCTATTTCTCCTAACATACACAGTCACTAAACTTTTACAGTAAATCCTATGAAGCGCTTTGAGTAATCCTCCCCACATGTAAGACCTGATATTCAAATACATGGATTATCATGATTTCTCCCTCTGGTGGAACAAATACTCCAGTCACCTTGCGGTTCTCCCATTCTATTGTGAGATGGACACCCTGATTTTAAACTGTTCAGAAAGTTATGAAATGTAACCGAACAATAATGTTAGACACAGAAGAATGGAATGTCACAGCACAGAAGAAGATCATCGGCCCATAAAGTCTACGCTGAACCATCCTATTCTAATCCCGCTCCCCTGCTCGCTCTCCACACCCTTTAATATTCTTCCTCTTAAAGCATCTATTTAATCCCTTTTAAGTTAATTTATGGAGCCTGCCTCAACAATGGTGCATAGCAGAGAAATGCACATTCCAACCACCCTCTGTGTGAAGAAAATAAAAAGAACAGAGACCGAGCCTGGCAGGAGCACTTTTTTTCCCCACTTGCTTCTTTCTGAGTCTTATGAACTGGAGACAGTATCTATAAACCTTCTCAGCAAATTGTCATCAGTAGTAAAGTAAATCTATACTAATGGTGATCCTCTGCTTTACCTGGTGTGAGCCTGGTTTAAGTTACTTGACCAGCTTGGACAATCTTACCTGCTTACCTGCTTGACTCATGGTGTGGAGGTTATATCTACATCAGGGATGAGAGATTTATTGATGAGGAAAGACATGAGAAACTTGGGCTGTTTTCCCTCAAACAGAGAAGGCTGAGAGGAGACCTGATAAAGAATTATTTTTAGATAATGAGAGGTTTTGATAACATGAACAAGGAGAAATTCTTTCCACTATTCGGTGAATCACTGACTTAGAGGGCAAAGATTTGAAGTCATTATCAAAAGAGCAAAGAGAAAGATAGGGAGAATTTATTTTACACAGAGGACTGTTAGGATGTGGAATGCGTTACTGTGATTATGGTTGAGACAGAATTCATATTAGCTTTCTTTTATTGGATTTTTCATTCTGTAATATTTATATTTTCAGGAAATGACTGGGTGTGACTTTGCCCGGCTCACAGACCTGGGTATCTGAACTGGAAGCGTTCGCTCACAAAACACTCAGTCACTACACTTCACAGGAAAAATCTGTGAAACCTTTTCAGTCATCCTCTTGACATGAAAGTACTATACCAAATGTATATTTGGATTATTATTATTAATGGTATTATTATCTGCAGTAGTCACCTGCACACTTGATAATTCCAATGCTTTCTTTGCTTGCTGTCCTACTTTGATCACCCATAAGAGGTTTAGAGGTACAAAGGGCAATTTCTAGACAAGGATTTTTTTCTTTACCCAAGGTAATTAACAACTGGAATAGTTTGCCAGGAAGGATGGTGGAAGCCAGGACACTGGAAGTTAAGAAGCAGCTTGAAGCTGTGATGGGAAGATCATAGGGTGGGTGTTCTGGAAGGATGGGATCAGATGGGACAAAGCAACCAAACTATTCTTGTGATCTTGAGGTATGAGTGCACCACTCATGCTGACAAATTATTGCTGCTACTCTATATGACCACCAGAGGGC